CATAGGTGTTGTAGCAACAAGTTAGTCCCTCGAAGCATATCTATGCCGTCTTCCGAAGGAAATTTTCCATTCCACCGCTGGCAAGCGGTGGTTTTCATGGAGCTTCCGCTAGCGCCATCCTCCCCGTCATTCCTCTCGCAGCCCATCCGACCGGACTCGAAGGTGTCGGAGCGATCTCCCTGATGAAATCATCACGGCGCGGCAAACGTGCCACGCGGGAAAACACGATCGAGGCTTTAGGGCCTTAATGAAGTCGAAAGATGATGGTAAGTCCCTCACACGTCTCGTCGCAGAGGTGGTGCTGCGGTGTGGTTCCTCCGCGGCGAAACTTTTCGCCGCCGAGCGCAGATTCATTCGGCGCAGAGCATTTGGTCTCAGAGCCGGGTAGGAAGTCCGGTTGCGGGAAGATATCGCTTCCGCCTTCATCGGCGATAAGGAAGCTGGAACTTTGAAACAAGCCCAAAGGAAACAGGAAGTCTTGATTCACACAGCTTCTATCCACCGAAACACACGCCGAGGTGCATCTGCAGCTGGAAGTCGACATCCTTCGGAGTTACCGCCCGGTCCGCGACCTTCTCAACTTTTGACTGTTCCAGCTGATCGTTCATTGGAGCGAGCTGGAAGGAGCTCTCACGTATTGGAGCTCTACGACCTCTCCTTGGTCACACTGTGGATTCCTAAGCGATGAGTCATTGTCTCTGGGAGAGCCGGCAAGAATCCATTCCTCAACGGGGACCGAGTGCGTCTTGGGAGCGATATTCCAACCCTCCCAAACCCTGGGGACTCCCGAGCTGTCAGTCGGCACGACGGTGGCTCTCACCGAGCTTGGGCCTGTTCGCAGGACGCGTCCAGTAAATGAAGTTATCTTCCCGACTTCACCAGTCGTCCATTCCCCGAATCTATTCGATCACAGTCTCGGCGTTTTTCCAATTGAATCTATTCGACGACGAGCAACGCTTGTGGCCCAGCTACTTTGCGACCGCTGCAGCATTCCGGTGAAGACTGACTCCTGGTGGAATTTCAGGTCGACAGCAGCTTGACATCCGAATTCGGATCTATAATGTGGGCACGGCTCGGGTAAGTCGTGCGCTTGTTCGCCATCATTGTAAGCGACAATGTACGGCGACATTCTCCACAGTCTCTCCCTTCGTCTCGATCAGTCTACGAGCTGAGACGGGTCATCGGCATAGGCCTCCCGCCATGTGTTGACTCACGCGAAATTTTAATTACTTTCTCCTCGACGGGAGCACGGGTCCGGACGACTTCTTGCTGAAACGCCTTGAGTAGAGCGATGAGGAAGAGTATCCTCCCATGAAATTGGGGAACTCGTTCCATTCTTTCCGACAAGGGAACTCTTCACTCGACAGCCTCCTGCAACAACCTCCCCACACTTACTTGACTGTGAAACTATGTAAATGTCCGCTCGGGAGCAGGGTAGCCATCCACTCGGTGGGTCGGGTTGTCTTCTCGGATGAGGAACTCTTTTCTGAATAAGCGCGTACCCTTCCTGGTTGCCGGACTGAGTCGGAGACCTCGATCAACGAAATTAATTGCTCCCCAAGTGATTCTCCGTGGTTGGCGCGGAGTTCCGTGTCACCGTCTGCTTATTGGTCGAAAGGCGTCGTGAGTCTCGCGGAAGCCATAAGGGTCCATGCGCGCCGCCAGGAGCGATCGCCAGGATCGACCCGCGATGTCGGTTCGGGAAGATCTCGGTTCGGGGAAACAGATCATTAGGACGGGTGGACGACCGGAGTGATTTTCAAATAACTAATTCTAGAATCGGCTCCCAATCAGGCGGGAGCTGATGAGTTGCGCTCGGGCAATTATGAAGCTGCGTCAGCTTCCCCCCCCCCCTTGGTACACTTCCTACCTATCAGATAGGACAAGATTAGGAGGGGCTCAGAAAAGAGAGCTCTTTTCGCTAGGGTCCGCATCTGACAGTGCGCCCATAACGTGATTCTGGCGATTCCCCGAGAGAATTCCGAAAGGGAACCCACGCTTAAGCGTCTCGCTTATGAGAGCACGCCGGGCAGATGGGGAATGTTCCGACGTGGTCTCGGGCGATATGAGCCCGCAGCAAGAAAGCTCATCGATTCCTCTCGGAGGGAGGAGGCAAGGTCGGGCGACAGGCACAGGGTCAGACCTTGGAATTCTGCTATTCGGAGCTTTTTCCCTACCCAGCTGATCTAGGAATGAGAACTCGCATGTACTGGCTGTGCCGAATCTTTAGTCGTTCTGCAAGCTCGAACTCAATGCCACCCTTCTACAGCTCACAGCCTCCTCATGACGGGGAACGTCGTTTCACATGACGTCATGAAAACTGAACGGATATCAGTCTAACTGAGGGGACGGAATTTTTGATACCTCTCCAAGTAGGCAGTGTCCGATGACGGACGTGTGTCCCTATGACAGCGGTTCTCAAACTTTTCTCCCCCAAGTCTCCCCTATGCCTTATGAGGGGCGCTCGCGTCTCCCAGGGAGATCACCGCATATCTGAGAATGTAAAGTTTCGACCTGAACATGTCGGAGTACCGTTTTCCAAGGAATATGGCTTCCCCGATCAATCGGACAATGATTACTAAGACAAATTGTAGACTAGCAATAAGCTGCGTGACCTCTCTGAGACGAAAAATCGATCGGTTGGGAATTCTAGGGATCCCCCGCGTCTCCCCTCAACATCTCCTGCGTCTCCCTAAGGAGACGCGTCCCCCTAGTTTGAGAAACGCTGCCCTATGAGAAGGGGAGGAGCTCCCCGAATTCTCGGGGAGAATTCGTGCAAGCTTGGACTCGGATGACTTCCTGGATCGCCCCCGCGTTGCACACCGCTCCTCCTCAGGATTTCCATCGCCGGGCATTGCTTCCGATCTGCAGAACGTGTAACGGAAGCTGCCGCCTCACAGCTTGGGCGGAGTCGCCGAATCCGTCCCGCGCATGATGGGAACTCACGAATAGAAAACTCTAGGCCATCGATTTCGTCGGAGAGCCTACCCCATGATCGTATGCGGGACTTTGTTGACAACGATAAATCATCTCTCTCGGAATCCTCCGATATCTGCGTGAAGGCATGATGCTCCGCCGGTCGGAATCGTCCCGGATCTAGCCAGAACTTAATCATATATATAGCTCATCTTTCCACGGTGAGAACCGAAACCCCCCAGAAAAACGGGATATTCTACGGACTGCTCAAGATTTATGCCATAGCCCGTGAACAGGTATATATCCCCGAAACCGATATGCCTTCCGCTGCCGGAACATTCCCTCGGATGGGCTGCGTTGGCTTTCCAGGGTTCGCTTCTACGGTCGCAGCAGTCAATGGAGAGTTCCTGGGACGCAGGACGTGCACCGTATCCTTTCGGACAGGACCGAGTCGAGGTCTCCGGGGGGAGAGGGGGATGAGCTAAAGGATTGTCACGCACCTCACTGAGATATATGCTCCGAAACTCGAAATCAGAAATTTCGGCGACGCGGGGAGCAATGCTCTCCCCACGCACGCCTCTGCTGATGAGAACACAAACTTGGCCAAGGATTTCGCCACCTAAAGGACGGCCGGGCCGAGAGAATGATCAGCATGTCTGTTTGCCAGAGCGATATACGGGGGTTTCCCGTATACTTGCATTTAGATACGATTGCCTCACGAACGCCGACTATGGAACTCGATGCACGAGTTCCCGAGCAGACTCGCTGTGGCTGGTGTATTGGCTCCGCAAGGGAGCGAGAATCAAGGAGGCGATGCTTTACCCAAGAAAAGCGCCCTCTAAGGACCTGCTTCCCTGGTTCCAGCTCCTGGCGGGCTTATCCGCCGGGCTCGCCCGTATCACGAAGTCCGACGTCGTCCTCTCTGTGCTTAAACTGTGGCTTTTATTCGATTAACTTAGGCCGAGCTACAGGAGCTCGGAAGTCCCACATCTCCATCACATAGCTCGAGCTAATCAATGGGAGTCTAGATTTCCGCCTGACACAGAGCTCGCCGCCCCGCAGAGGCGTCGCGCTTCCTGTGGGCGCTGTCGACCTTAAGCGCAATCAGATCTCGGATGATGGAGGACGAGGACCAGGCAGAGACCGCTCTGGGCAAAGTTGAAGAATGGCGACGACTAGGCGACGTGAACATTGAGAGAAGTCGGTTCACTTTGGCTTGATGGTAGCAAACTTCATTTATATGCGTTGACCATAAAGCCTGCGCAGAGAAATGCCGCCTCCTGCTCCCTCATGAACTTCGTCTCTCCAATAGAACCAGGTCTTTCTTCTTTAGTCTGAATTGTTTCCCTGAGAAAGTCGCACGCTGAGCCCTCGCGTGGACATTTAAATTTATACCCAAGCATAAAATCCATCGGTGCTCTCACTGATGAGTGGCGGCGGGAACGATCTTCCAGTCGCAGGCCTGGGCGAGCGCGTCTCAGGGTCTGAGACCGAGAGCTATCGAATGGATTAATCAACTCCTGTCACGAGCAGCTTGGTTTCTCGTCTGCGTTCTGTCGTTGGGAGAAAACAAGCGTCGCTCTTGCGGTTGAAGCGTTTTTTTTATTCGCAATGCCACTAATATACTCTCGAGGTAAAAATCAACAAATGTGCTTTCATTTTGATGAGTTCTGCGAAGTCTTGTCTCCCGGACAATGGAAGTCTCTCGAGTTGAATCAAGGATCCTCCAGAAGCCTTCCGGAGTATCACTATATCTCTCTCTGTTAGCATTCACATAGAAAAGTGTGTGCAGTGTTCCACGCAAGATATGTGTTTTCAGAGTTTGACCTCAATGTCGCGGCTGAGAGCGTCGTGTGAGATCGCTGTGCTTCTAGCGCCCTTGCTCGTTCGGATCATGGAATGTCGTCCATACAGAGTTCCCTTGAGTCCACACCCGCAGGTGTGACTCGTCTGTGCGATGGCCCTGTTTGGAGAACGGACTCGACCCATAGTTCTGAGTTCCCTTCCTTCGCATGAAGCGGTTCTTCCTAGAGGAGAGTGTTTTACTCGCGATCCGCGATGTACACTCGCCGAATTATTCCCACGTGTCCTCGCGGAGTAAGGATGTGCGAGGAAGACGGCTGAAGTTTGCGTAACGTTTTGCGATGCAAGTGATCGCCTGTTCGGGTTGCGCCTGATAAGAGCTCGGAGATAAGCGTTCCGAAGTGCAGTCTGGACCTGCAACGTATGTAGGTTGGTTGTTAGCACGAGCTCACTCGCTCTCTCACTCATTGAGGCAAATGCTTCTGGCGAAGGCATCATTACCGGGCCATCACAAGAACTGAGCGGTTCAGGTCGACTAATTACGCGGGAGCCGGGAGTGTCCGCTGTCTTTCTCCGTAGCCGACCAGCGGAACGAGCCACTATCGATGATGGAAAGCTCGCGTCAATGGCGAAGGCTACAATATGTACCGCCGTTTCAGAACTTGCAGAGCCGCTCGCCAGAATATTTTAATCTCCTGTACCGATCGCGTTCTTTGGAGGAAGATTAATCGCAATATACAGTTATCGGGTACAATCTGTTTGCTGTTCGTGACAGCCCATCGAAGCGATCAGAAAACCCCGTGTATGTAGGTGAAAAGCCCACAGCGGAGACGAGCTGTCGCCCTCCGCCTATGGGTGTTTCCGGAGCCGGCTCACTTGAATATCGGGTTGTGTCATGAAGAGAATGGCAGCTGTTTCTCCCTAATAACGACTGCGGAAATATGCACATCTGTCGGAAATTTCATTTCCATCCCTGAAAAGCTCCCACAGCCAGTCTACACGTTCAGAGTTTCTGAAGAGACGACGGAAAAGCGTAGATTTGCTCTATTCGAACTTGCAAGCGCCTCTGAACTTTTAGGGAAGCATTCTCCCTTGCCTGAATTGCATACCACGGCCACGGATCGCTTCGACCGGAATTCTCCATCTCGACCGCGGAGTGCCGACTGAGGTTACTGAGCTTAGCATTCATTTCCCAGCCCATGGGGCTCCATGTTGAGGCTGATCATGGGTGGTGTGCCTCTTCGTCAGCAATGGTCGTGCCCCCCCCCCTTCAAAATAAACCCTGGGCACCCGCCTCCTCGTCGACATTTCTCTCCGTGAGTGAGTTCTTGGGAGCAGCGCGATTGGGACTGGGGAGGGCACGGGCGGTTCGCGGGGAGCGCCAATCTATTGTCAAGATAATAGTGCAGAAGCTCCCGATTTCTTTTCGGCGCACGACCTCCCCTCGAGGTCCTCGACTATGCTCGGGACCCATTTCCGACGTCATTCGAGAAGTACTACCCAATCGGTGGCGTCGCCAAACAAAGGATGTTTTCCACCTTATCATTGAACAAGCCCTCCCAGTATAGTAAGAGATTCTGACGCGTTATGGCTGGTCGATATACTAGCAAGCTATGTCGAATGGACTTCCCCGGGGGATCTTGCCATGAATTAGTTTCACCGAGCTCCGAAACCGCCGAAAACGGCTGCCGGGAGCCCCCAGAGGTTGAACCCCCTCTTGGGAACCTTTTTGTATGGTATGCTGTATTATGAATCGATCGAGGCCGGTAGGCGTCATGGTGCAGAACAGCGAGGTTCGGGGGGATAGCCGGAGCTGCTGGGATCGCCCCGCGCTCTCATCGAATTCCGGATCTTCGCGACTTATCAGACACCCTGGATGAGATTTCAAGTTTCTAAGAGGCCAAGCAGACGTCGAGCTCACCTCTGAATTCATGAAGCAATGAATGACGGAGACGAATATCCCCTGGAATTGATGTCAGCTTAGATTGAGCGCGGGGAATGCTGCTCTTCCGCTGTAGGTATTATTATTTCACCTTCGACCGGGATATTCGATGAATCGACGAGGAGAGATTCGATTCATCGAGAGCCCGACGGCTATCCGTACCTGAGATGATTGGAGCACGGCGTTGACAATCATATAAACTTGGCTGAAGGTTTCTCCATATTCCTGAGAGGTCACTCCGTAGAGGAGATGAGTCATTCCCAGTAGAGGAAATAGAAGTACAGTCGCTTTTATTGCTTTCCTGTGCAGGGAATCGAATTTATTTTCTCCAAAGGAAAAACCCCCAGAGAAAACTACTCAGCGAGCTTTCATACCCGCCAGTTTTCATGCAAGGTCTTCTACTTTCTTATTGCAGCCCTGGAAAATCTTCCTTGAGAGGACTAGGTCGGTATTTCCAGAGCTCGAAGGAGACCTCGCCCTGAGACGTACTTACCGAAATTGTTTGTTCTCGGCAGAGATGCTCTTCACTTTCGTAACGAGGATGCGAATGATATTTAACAAGAATACGAAGTTTATCTGCGAGGGAATCAGAAACGCTCAGTTTCGATCTTCGGAGCCTCTGAACGGCTCTCAGAGGGTTCTCAAGTCCTCTTCCATGTTTCCGTTATCTCCTCAATGCGCTGGCAATGCGATTCCTCTTCAAAATCCTTCTATCTGCCGTGAGTCATGATCGGATTCTATTGTTCCTCCTCGGTGTGATGGGATGAGGTGGCCGTCGTGTTGTTAGAAGATATCGGATTTCACTTACCAAGAGCACGGCCAACTTTGGCGCGGTGAGCAGCCAGACACACTGCTTCGAACGATAGCCCTCCCAACACGTCGAGCCTGGCATTATCTGTTCCATGTTGACAGCCCAGAGCACCACGAATATCAAAGGAACTCCTGCAAAGTCCGCAAGAAACCGAGTTTGGTCAGGCGCCTTGATCCCGGATATTTTTGCTGCTCGTCGTCTCCCGCCGAACGTTTCATGACCCAGTTCGTCGCATCAGCAGAATGAATCCGATTGAGCGGAAGGTCTGCTCCCAATACGGACTCAATGGCGAGAGCACAATATGAAGGCCAAAATCGTGGAACGAAAAGGCCAGATCAAGGGAAGGCCTCGAGTCTTCTAATCGACCGGATGCCTCTCAATGAAGAGAATCCGCTTCCGAGCAACATCCCCCTCCTGAACTCGGTGGTAGGAGTTTGAATCGTACACCGGTAGAACCGGAGGAACGTCCTCCGTTTCCAATGGACAGTTTGTGCAAATGTATAGCCTCCGCGATGAATGCTACTGATTGTGAATATTGGAATGTTGAGGCGAACTATTCTACCTATTTTAGAACACTTCTCGGCTCGGTGGGCGGTTCTCGGCGAGCATTTGTCTCCGTTTCGCACGTACACAAGCACTCCATCTACAGCGGGCCCATCCTGCTCGCTCCTATATTAAGCGCGGGATCAATATTAGGCTGCCCGCTGGCCACCTCGGCGCCGCGAAATTTAAGCGGCTCTATATCGCGAAGCCTTTTGGAGAAGAGCATCCTGCATCGTGGTCGTCCTGCGAATGGCGAACTCCCGCGGAACACGGTCCCTGGCAGTTAGGCCAGGCTTCGCGGTTACCGAGTATTCCGTCTTCTACGTTCTCAGGCTCATCAATACATAGAAGGTAGGAAAACGGGGCAGCTCCTCGTCCGCATTGACAGGATGCGGAATCCGTCGGCTCGCATTCCTATTCTATTCGCCATCTTCATTAATGACCTACTCTCGAACCAAGAAGGCGTGACTACGATTCCCTTCAAGGATGATTCCACCTTGATATTACGGCACGAGGACCCCCTAGAGCTCTCCATTCGAGTCTCGCAGGCGATAATCTCCGTGAACGATTGGACGAATCGAAATGGTCTGGCTCCGAACGCCTCCCAGACAAAGCATATCCAGTTCGGATCGGACCGCCACGAGTGGGCAATCATCGGTACTCAGGTCTTCCCCTGGACGCTGACCTCACTCGAATTATCTCAAGCTCGGATTTCGCGCATGCATCCGTTCCTTTCCGGATCCGTTCGGTCTCCGGGAGTCCTAGCTCTTCAACGGCTCTGGAAACATTCGGAGCGAGGCTGATGGATCGAGACCAACTTTACGTGAGGAACTATGAGAGGAGACCTTCGGTGAAGCTGTCCGTGGGCGAGCTCATCGTGGAGAGGGGCCTTCCCGTAAAAGGCTGACTCTCTCTGGTCGAAAGGGGCCGGACCCTTTTTTCGCCGACAGATGCTCAGAGGGAGACATGCTCGGGCACTTCCACTCTCCTTGTCTGGAGTTTTCGACGAATTTACAGCTGTTCGCAGCCTTTGGCTGAACACGAATTTTTTCCGCTCCGATTTTCGTAATATAACTGCTCGGAAACTGCTAGGAGGAGGTCAAAATCGAGGCTGCGTCCACGCACAAAAAATTCTGTCCCGCAGAGGACGAATGCTCGTGCATCCCCTGTCCTTGATCGCGAAGAATCAACAGGCAAGGCATAGGTTCAACGAGTGATGAGCCAGACGCAGATCTCGGCAGGTGCCGACGACACGTCCTCCTCTGCTCAGCAAATTATTTGCAATTAGTGTGAGCCTTCAGAAGAGAGAGAGAACCCGATGACAACAATGCGACGATTTCCCGGGTTTGCGACAACGCCACGACGGGGTTTTATGCACGATTGATTCGTAACTGAATCGTCCGGCAACCGCCGGAAACTGTCAATGAGAGTGTGTTCGCGTAATTCGATTCCCGATGGCAATGCTGGGCACCATGAAACGTGCGGGGATGACCGCACACCCTGCGTTCGACGAAGTCGGCAGCTCATTCCAGAGCCAGACGCCAATGTCCACAAAAACGGAGTCATCGTTATCATGAGATTGTCAGGGGAATCAGCGCCCGACCGACATCGGAACGAAATGATAAACGGTTTCCGAGGGAACATCCGCGCGAATTCACCGCAAGTTACGCCCGAAGCTGAGGTTGAAGAGTACAGCTCACGTCACACCGAGCCGGTATGTGAGGAGCTCGTCTTCTGATGCGGAAGGATGTCGTCGAGAGATTACATTAACCCTTCTATACATGAACGAGTCCTTTTTGCCCGGAGACAGGTAGGAATGAGCTCGGGAAGAAAGATTCGTGATTGCCCGAGCAAATTCTGATCAGCGTGAGGATGTTCTTGCAAAAACGGAGAACGTTCGTGAATCCGTTATGCAGCTTGCATCAGACTTCGTCGACAGAGTTCTTCATGGGGAGCAATGTCAGGTCGGCTCGCATTCGCCCGGTCCGCGATCAAAAGCCTGCTTGTCTTTTTCATTTTGTTTGATGCATCGATCGAGTCGATCCATTGTTTCGCTAAGAGCCTTTCGATTGCTCCGAATCGCGTCGATCCGGCTCGGAGTCAGAAGCGTGCAACGTGGAGACGACCCACTGTACAGTTGAGACTCGATGACAATGACCGACAGACAGGAAGCAAGGGCAGCCGCCACCGAATACCTAGATGAAGTAAACGGATGGATTTCTCAGAACGGACTCGTTCTGAATGCAAAAGAAAAACGAAATTCATGCATTTCAACAGAGGTAGTAGGTAGGGAGGTGATAATACATGACGCAAGCCATTGCTCGACTATAACAACTCTGCTCCAACCCTCCAATGATGGCGTAGTGACTCCACATCGGCTTCAGCATAGTTACCATGACATAATTTTATTGCGAAGTAGCCATGGCAAATGTTGACAGCAATCATGACCCCTTGATGCAAAACAGAGACTACCTAAAGGTAAAGGCGAAGCAGTTTAGGTAAGACTAGATGATGGCACTGGTTGGCAGTTTAACAAGTGAAATTTGAGCAAACGTTTGAATCGGGGGTAGCTACTGGCGGCACGCGTCGCGGTCGGTAGCGAATTCCACACGACGGGGATGAGACAGCGGGGAGAGGTCCTAGCGGGTCCTAGTTCTAGCACCATGCGCGCCTCAAGGCTCAGGGAAATCTAGCCATCCCTCTTGTAACTAGCTAGTATACCAGTAGTAGTAGTAGTAGTACCAGAGGCTGTAGGACTGTCAATCTGGTCAAGCTTAACTACTCCTTTCCGCAGAGTATGAAGCAAGTGATTCCTCAAATGAACTCTGAGTGAGAGCAGACAGAAATATTTCAAACTTTTGAAGAAGTTTTTGCTTGAGGACTAAATCAGCGAAGAGAGTATCTATGTATGGAATATAACACAAGCCGAAAGACCCTGCCTGCCCTTCCCTCATTTCAACTCTGTAAACGGTGAGCATCCTTGATGCGACTGCGTCTCCGACCTCTGGTCTCTTGCAGGCATAATGGGGTTCTACATATTTCATTGACAATAAATATGCTCTTCGTGTTACGAGAGAAAAAGTTTCCCCAAGGGAGTAACTCACCCCATCCTATGAAATAGTACAGCTTGAATGGTGCCTCCCGCTGGAATATGGACGTTGTGATTCTGGAGTGCAGTTGGATGCCTTCCACAAACATCCAGTTTATCGAAGCCATGGAGGAGTATAATTTCAAACAAAGTGACACCTTACAGGCAGCAGGCTGAAATTGTATCGATACATGAAATCACGATATTCGGCTCGGCGAATTTGAGCACTGAAAGGGTAACGCAAGGATTCCGTATTTACCACATTCTTCACGTTGAATATCAGGAGGCTCGATGGATGATTCACAACCACGGGCATCGTGATCACTATGAGCATTAAGTTGTTTACGATGAGCGCAACGACCAGGTTTAGATGTACCCTCGTCCGGGAACATCGCAAAGAGCTGTCGGAGGAACCATCCGTTCAATGTTATCGATCAAAGAGAGAATTCGATGGACTGAAATGGTGACGGTCAGAGCATGAGGTTTACCTGAAACGGGTGAAGATGAAGGCTGTGGCAGCCAAGAAAACGAGTGATGTCACAGAGAAACCGAAGGCAATCGTAGAAACCCTAAGTGCGCTCGAGTCGACAAAATTGGCGTTGGGGTTCTGCGGAAGGGGAACAAAGTCTTTTGAATCGCGGTTCGTCCCTCGACCGATGCTGACAAGGACGTTCCGCGACGCTGGATCACCGGCGTATTTGGCAGACGCGGGCGTCACAGCCCATACGGCAGCACCGTTATTTCGCTTCTACCAAGAGGGACTTTTCCCGAGAGAAAAACGCAGGCTACTGACTGAGTCTCTGACTCAGTCGGGTAATGGGCGTAGAACTACGCTTTTCCCAATCGGCTTCCCCCTCCAAATGCCTCACGGGTCCAAATTTTTGTTCAACAAAACGTAGCAACCAGAAGGTTGGCGGAACTGGAGTACGTAGACTGAAGTACTTATGGAATGTATCACGGGGTTGGCGTTCACCACTGCCATCATAATTCCAGTTGACTTAATCCCGGGATAAGATTAGGGGACTTTCTCTGATTGTTCTGCTCTCTCATCTCCCAGAGATGGAGCAGGGTTTCCAAATCATCGACATCAGCTCTACTGCACTGCCCTCTCTGTCCGATTTTATAATTGGGATGCATCGTTCGAGGGTTTCTGGGAAGGCAGTTGGTACGCTTAAGGTAGTGACATTAAATGACATCTTCGGACGAGAAAATTATCATACCATGAGCTTCGTTGACTGCTATATCTGCTCACAATAGAAGTCGTTTCCACCATAAAATGATGAGATAACTTCGTAAGAATAAAAGACGCCTTTTCGAGCCATCGCGGGTATCCTTGAATTTTCACGCTTGAACATAATGTAAATCATGCTCCCATGCGCGCAATTATAGTTTTCCCCATCAGAGAATGGGAATACTTCGCTCAAATGTTTCTTTGGAAGCAACTTGTGTCTATGAAGGCACGATTGGATTTTGAAGAGTGAGGCCGCCCCCTTTTTCGTAGGTAGTTGACGGAATCGAGCCGCTATCGTCTAGCCGGTCGAAACTGCCGAAGCTGAACATTTCTCGCCATCATGATATTTGTGCTAGGATGAGAGGTTCTCGAGTATTTTCGACCCGAGCCTATATTATGGCCTATTCCAACCTGAAGAAAGGATTTTCGAGTTCGGGACGACCTTCTGACGATGCCTCACGAGCAGTCCCACATATTCGACCATGACGATTTTCCGCATGAAATGCCCTGTTTTAGAGGATTTCGACTATCAAGTTTGTGACCTTCTTTCATGATTCGTACCCCATCTTATCCATCTACCGGGGGCTGAAGCGTAGTTCTACGCTAATAAAAGAAACTTGGGCGAGGGAGTCCTGGATTCCGAGAAAGACTCGAGATCGCGTTTTCACTCTGCCACGGTCCTTCAATGTCTTTCTTAGTTCCGCCCTTCGTCGACCTCGGGGAACTTATTCCCGTCGTCGCATTCCCACCATTCCGCAGTCGGTCGGAATCGTCGATCGTACTCGAACTCATGAATTGAATATCTTCGAGACACTTGATGTGGAGCCCGGAGAACAATCTTTCGGCTTGACTTCACAGCTCGCGAGATGGCTCCTGCTCGAAATTTACGCTTGAAGCTCGATCGAAGGTATGAAGGCAGAGTTCCAGAATCTTGAAGGAAGCTGCCTAAATCCATGTCGTCTTGCACGATACCCTCGAGCCAATCGCGATAGAGGGATCCTCAGAATATTCGGAGATCAAGGCTCGCGGCTCTGTTGAGGCTTGCGATACCGAATGACAGGAATCGTTCGGTAGGAACAAAAAAAGAGAAGTCGACTCCGGAATTCCTGCTGTGGTGAAGAGAAAAATACATGTCCCAGAGTGATGAGCTTTGCGTCCTCAACGGCGATTCGGAATCCTCCGGCCCGCAGGGATCCCTTCAGGAAGGAGTTTTTAGGAGCATATGAGCTGCAAGCATCCACACGTCACATCGGAAAGCTCTCCCGTCATCGGCTATCTAAGCGTATGCGCCTATCTGTGCCGACGCGGCGCGTTGGCCGCTCCTGTGAGCGGACGAGAAGACTGGAAGGATCGCCGGATGGCCGAGAATTCCTCATTTCGGAATCGAGCGCGACGAGTTCACTTTACCTAGCGGACCTAGCTTTAATCGGACCTAGCTCGCTTTTTTAATCGGACCTAGCTTTCGACGCATCGAATCCAAGAGAGCGGGAGACTTCATCGGTTCCGAGAATGTCAAGCGCTGAAAGGGACGAACATCCTATCGTTTCGTGTCGGTCGAAGGACCGGTATTTCGGGGGGATATCCTCACTGGGAGGATTCCCGTCTACGTCGGCAAAGAAAGCTCCTCACCTCTGGCTGGAGGAGCTCGATGAGGTACCTATGTGCTCTTATGATTATTCGCAGCATCCTCGAGAAGACTTCTCGCAGCGCGGGAAAATCGAGTCGACAGGTACTGTGACTCCCGAACGCTACGGTACATCCTCAGAATCGCATTCTCGGACATCAGTTGATGCATGCAGTCATTCAGTGCATGGCGAGGTCGATTGGAAAAAGCACATAGTCCTCGACGCGCTCGATGTTCGCAAGGCGACGACTGTACTTCGCGGAGCTCGTCGTATGCCGCTGGGTCGTTCAATGACTTCGCACTTGCCATGCACTGAAAATCGGGGAAGATACTCCCGTACCTTGGAATATGAAACATCGGGCAAAATGTCTGGAGTTTGTCGGGATCTGGGGAAATGAATTCGCCTATCACAAGAGTCTGATTCCGAAGCGGAGAGTAAAGTGTGCGAGGAACAGCTGCGTTCCAACTCCGTCGAAGTGTTTGAGGTGTCGCGTCATCCCGGCTAGATCCAAAAGGAGATAGTGTGGGCAAGGACTTGTACACAGAAGTCTCCACAAAGTATCTCTCAGCCGGCAGTATGCGGCGAGGGAACTTTTGTGTACTTGGATCCTTCTCTGGGCAGAATCGATCGCTTCAGATTCTCCAATCGCAGGACTACACCGATCCGCAATTTTGGAGTGAGCCAAGGCTCCGCTAGCTGTTCGTCAGCGAGCCGGAAATCCGGCTCCGTTTACGCTCAGGAATCTGGTTTCGGGGAATATCCGTGATATTCCCACACACTGTGAATGAGAACGCGCCATGGTCTGCAAGAGCTGCAGCCGCGCGGAAAGTTTCGGACCTTCGGATTCGGGCGAGCTTGGGAATACATTTCGAACGCCATGCAGACTGTATGCCAGAGGATCCTCCAGAGAGAACTCATGGCGGCCTCAGCGGTGGAATCGTTCGGAGAAGAGTCCAAACCCGATGAGCCGCGCGTACACCCATCTGCTATCAGATTTTTTCTCCAACCATACTGCGTGAGCTCTGCCGGCCGGAACGCAATCGATGCGTGAGTTGAGAAATCGTCAACGGGATTTAGTCCTCATTTATCAGACGGATTCGAGGTGGGGAAGTTTCAGATTGATTTCTACAAGATTAAGGAGGAGGAGCTTTTCCGCCCCATTGTCCTAGAAACCGCGGTGGCCAGCCCCGTCGAGACGCGTGGCTACATCCCTGATCGTTCTCGAAGACTTGAGTCGGAGTTCTTTCCACGAAAAAGAGCATTCTACAGATTCCGCTTCGATCGATGATAGCAGCGACAATCAGCATCCCTGAGGCAGGACGGATTTACATTTTCGCGCTTCGTGGATTCGATGAAGAGGTGAGATGATTTCTTCCCTGGTTGAATGACAATGAAGCATTCCGCTGAACTCTGTCCGAGGTGCTCTTGAGCTCTCAACGAGCCGAAGCGAGAACGCGTTGAGAGTCCAAAATCACTTATCGGAACGACACTCGCATCCTCGACGCGGCGCATCGAATCCGTTGGGAGAAGAGTCTTTATTGTGCTGGAGAGGTCACCATCCTCCTTAGTGAGCCATGCTCTCTGTCGCTACGCACTAAGCGGCGCTTTGTCCGAACTCCAGACTGAATCCGATCAGTCTATCCTTGAATCTGTATACCCTTCTGTTTGTTCAAGCATGACCCTTTGACTCGCTACATTTGAAAGTCCTGCGCGACGACCATAGCATGGCTATCGCATCAGTTTTCGAATCTAATTCTCTTCCGCCTGGAAGTCGTTCGTTCTTCAGTCCGGCTTTTCGTTGAACGAATCGAATCACTGAATGAGACATCGCCAGCCGGCAGTTTCCGAGCTGTCGCGTTCCTCGGAAGCAATCAAAAGTCCACTCAATTTCAGGAGGTTCCGAAATCCTCATTCTCTCGGTCGTGACTAAAACCTTGTAGCTAGAAACTTTGTAGAGAAGGAGCTCTCGACAGACCTTTACCCCGAAAGAGAAGTCCTCGGAAACATTTGTTGGGATACCGCCTCACAAGAGACGCTCGCAAGAAGGAGGTCTCACAAACCGGATTTCCCATTGTGAGCAGGAAAAGCCTCGAAAAGCCATGGAATCTCCGACGAGATCGATATGCGCTTCCCTAGGTCTTCACAAACGATGGATGCCACCAGGCCGAATCCTCTCTCAATCAACCCGGGATTCGCTCTGCCCGCGTCACGAAAAATAGGATGCCCCTCGTGTTTTCCTTGGTGCTCTCCTTTGTCGAGGAGCGAGCGTCCGAAATAAGTACGGAGCGCACAGATTCTCTTTTTCGCACTCAGCAATTAGCGAACCAGCGCGGGCGCAACAGCTGACAAGGGGGAAGAGGAGGGAGGACGCGAAGGGAATCTCAGAAGAAAACTCTTTCAGAAAACTCACCTCATCATCTCCGAGTGCAGCTATACAAGCGTTGTAGTTCGTGGAGTTTTGCAGCCAACCCCATGGTGTGCAGAGTCGAAATGCGAAGGGCTCGCCTGTAAAAATCGAAGGACCTCAAAAACGTCCGCCCGCGGAGGAAAGTCTCTTGTTTAGCAACATACATATGTATATCCAACGCCTCAGTCTCGACTCAAGTCGGAACAAAAAGTTCGATACCGTTTGGCTGAGAGCCGAACCGAAGCTCGCGTTGAATGACGCCGAAGGTATCCGCTTATTGTTCATTCAAAATTCTCAATCATTTGTGCAGCCCAGCGATGAATAGTTCCTCGACGCCCACCGCCTCCGTTCCCCGGTGTCGCCTCCCATTTCTGATGATAATCAGGAATTTCTGATGAACTCGGGTAATTCGGGTCACACTATGATTTCCGTTCCGACGATGCCGGCTCGTTGAGCGTCGGAGCACGACTGCCTAATTAGGCTCCTCTGAGATTCCGCCCGAACTGTCCAAGAGACCTCCCTCCTGTCATCTCTTCCAGACGCGCTGATTCGTCTGCGGTTGTCTCCATGTGCGATTCTCAGCAATGAAAGCGATACTTCAGTGGCCGATAGCTCAAACAGTGAACGGAGTCTCTGCTCCAAACGAAAGAGGCGAGGAGCTCCGAATCAGCTGGCTGCTCGGCTAGGCATCAGACGACTACGTTCTCTATTTGCGACGTTTCTCCCCGTAGATGTTAGACCAAGAACTCTGTCGTCGTGAGGTCCATCCGACACCAAGCTTCGGTGGCCGCTACCAGCGCGAAGAAACCACCGCGTTTCCCCCACTGACCTCTCTAGCGAGCGCGAAGACGTACGGCTAGGTCGAGGCTCCGCATGCTTTCGGTCTTAGTTTATCCATAATGTTCTCGGACAGAGCATGTTCCTATGAACGTCGAAGAGCAGTGCAACGAACATCAGCGCCTGCTCGGGCATCACGACTCTCTCTGGCGCGCTACACGCTTTGGATGTGAAGCTTTCGCTCGAGTGCACACCTGTCATTCCACCTGGAGCTCTCGACGCAGCTGACGAAGCGGATCGGTGGCACCCATCACCGATCCTCGGCTTGCATCTGAGCGCCGGATGTCAAGCAACGTATATCCAACGCCTCAGCCTCGACCATTCCTCAATCAAGCCCTGGCTCCTGCTCTGCGCGTCCGGAGAAGAAAGCGACCCGGCGAACAGACTCGATGATTCTAGTGTGGGATTTCAGAAATGAATACCGATCGTGCTAGAGATTGTTCGGGCGCGCGCGGTTACCACCAGCCGCGTTCGAATGTCGGCAGATATTCGAGCCGACAGACTTGCTTCAGTCAGGGCAAATCATTCGCGCCACCGCCACTCCCATCCGTAATTCTAGAGGCGATGTTTCTGTCTCTAGAAGTCGACTGCAAGAAAATGATGGAGATTCCCTCGAGCGCTGTTGCTTGAGTTATTCCCACCGGATTCTTTATCCGCTCTGTTTCAGCGGCTGAAATAATGGATCCAGGAACGTCAGCTGGAGTGAATATAAGGCCGGTGGAGAATAGGTGCAGCGTGGGCTCCAGAACCTCAATAAGAACAGACCGCACGGTCGCGTGGATATCCCGTGGGATCAAATCTTTACCCAATGCCACGTTGCGATGGAGAAGGAAAAATGAAAAAAACCGTCTCCTCTCCACCACGTCGAGAGTAAATCCGAAGAGCGCGAACGTTCTCGAATGGGTGGCGCCAATGCCGAGGATGACCCTAGAGATCGCTCGTTCGGGACATTTAACACGCCGGAATCGCGTTTTCCGATCACCGACCTTCGGCGCACAAAAAGTCGATCCCGCGTACTAACCTGTGCCTTCCAGTTGAGTGCTTGTGTCGATTTCTTCTCGGAGTAGCACCCTGCATGAACGTGTCACCACGGTTCCACCGGTGGCCGACGGCCAGCATGCGAATGTGTCCCATACTGGCGGGCACGATTTGTCTCGCGAGGCACCTGCAACATATTGAATTTTAGGGCGAGTTTCAACCTTCAGAACCGTACTTCCGAGACCAGCTTCATGAGCAAACCTAGATTATTCGGGAGATCTTGGCCCGCAGATTTTCCCGTGATCCGACAGTGTTTCGGTCTGGCAGTTAAGGGGCTTAGCTCATCCAAACCCGCGAGAAACGATTCATTCGCAGCCAAAAATCCTCTGTCTCGACTTTAAGCCTGACGTCATGTCCTTTGCTTGTTGAATTTCCCGCTGAGTTTCCTCGTTACTCCCACCGATGAGAGTCACCGATCGAGACCAATTATACCCGATACGGTATTTCATCGTTTCTTCCTAAACGATTCTCCCTAGAGCTGATCGAAAATTTTTCCTGATTCGATCGGCTCCCTGCAGAATCGAAGAGATTGAAAGGACTCCGGTACATTCAGCTCCTCGTCGACCTCGGAATCCGCGCCTGCGCGGATCGACAGCGCGTGGTCAGTATTCTATTGACAGAAGCCAGCTCACATCGGAATGTTGGGCGAAAAGAACAAACTCGCTCCAGAATGGCTGTCTCTAAAAAGGTACAGCGGCAACAATTTTTTCATTGGTATTTGCTCTCGCCAGGGGGCCTTCACGAACGCGTATCCCGCTGTAGGTCGTTCCAAGCGGATGGGGAAACCTCCATTGCGCAGGGTATGCTCCACCATTGCATGGTCAGGTCTCTACGAAGAGTTCCTGATACGTCGCAGATGCAAGCGGACTGATCAATCCGATTTCAGGACCTCATGGACCAGATCGTGAGCGTACCGAGGTGCGGAGCCGTACGGCCTTCGGAGCTCTAACTCTCAGTACCCGAGTGAGGCTGATCCGAACCCTCGATGTCGAATACAGTCTCGTCAGAACTGCGGGGAGTTGACTGATATTTCTCGGGATCGGAGTTCGTACTGGGAGTTGTCACTTTAGAGATCAGTTCGGTCGATTCGGAGCGCGAGACGGTGCGGCTCAAGCTGAATCGGCTGAGGGATCGCTGTATGGGCGGTAATGAAGAAGCTCGAGTTCTCTCCAGGTGATCCCTGTGCGCGGCCAAAACAGTCACGGCTCATGAATGTCCCTTCTCACTTATCATCATTGAAAGGATATGCGCTGGGCTCCATCATTATGGGGAGCTCAAGGCTCGCAAAGGGGTCGGTCAGAGAGCTCGCAGGGTAGGTACCGGCTCCCTTGGTCGAAACCGTCGGAAGGTCTGTTGAAATTACCCGGTCGTGAGTAAATTCATCAGACCGGAAAATCCAGACCGTCAGAGCTCGATCCATCCGGGGGGATGTGCCTGTCGCTCTCGTCGCATGACTACTCGTTCGGCGGGGGGAACTCTTCCAGGCAGAAGTTTCCGCGGCGGATGGGGGAAGATGAATATTAATAGACATCGAGTATGGCGAGGGAGTCCGGTCCTGTGGTCGTTTTCGCGAGAAGATTTTCTATGCCTAATGTTAGTTCAGGATGTCTCTGCCAGTCTATTAGTGGTGAGGAGTAATTCTCTCGCGGTCACGCGGAGTAGCAAGTACCTAAACATCTCGCAAACTTCGAGCGGCTCCGGGAACTTTCCGGTCTCTCGAGACAACTTCAGAACATCCCTATCTTGGATCAAATCACAGAGTCTGTGGGAGCGGATTCCCCCTAAAATTCGACGCGCATATGGCAGATGGGGTTCCGAACTCTTTCGACATTCCGACCTTGATATCCCACAACCAGGCCACTTTTTATTACTCATACCGACTTCGAGTACCTGAGGAGATAATCAAGGTCAAGGGAATTCTGAACGGTAATCTCTCGGAAAGCGCAGAGTCATTGTGGTCCGTCATGACCCCTTCAAACATTCGCGCTCGATTGAGGCAGATAATGATCTGACGTATTGTTCATGGTGGTGGTGCCCAATGAGCCTAGGATTGCTCACCTTCAATTCAGATCTTTCCGTTCCAGATTTCACTGGATCGAACTTCATGCGACACCCTACACTTAAGATCACTTGAGCTCATATGGTTTATGCGCTGGGACTCAACTTGCGTCTAGCTCTACGTACGCCCAAATGCCTGGGCAGGTGGTGTGTCACGTTTTCGGAAACGTGACCCGATGAAGGAACGTCCATGGATCTCGGGCCGATTTTAGTCAATGTCGAGGAACAGTCCTTTTTGGATTGTCTCATCACTTCTGTTATCGATAGTGGATGATATCTTGAGGACGGCCACAGAACAGAAGGATGAATGCCTCGAGCATGCTCGCGTTCTAATCAGCAAGCACCAACGTACACGCGTACTCGGATAGGAACGATGTTTCCGCAATCGGTCAAGAGTATCACGTTTTCTTCTTCTCCTATCGAACGGATGTAGTTCTACGCAAACATTGGTTTGGCCAGACCTTCTCCAATTTTTCTTCGCGCATTTCATCCCGGCTCAAGGAGGCGATAGAACTTCTTTCCAGAGCTCGTCCTCATGGTTGGGAGTTTCCACTCATGTCCGAGCCTCGACTCAAACTTAGGTCCCGAGCCCCAGGTCGCAAGTCAGACCGACGACACATGTTTGGAAGGATCCCCTAGATCTCCGGACGGGACCCTCGAAGACAGTGATCCAAGAAACCATGATCCAAAACTTTCAGAGTCGACCGGGTGATCGCTCGGGATTCCCCGCTTGCAGGACCCACAACGTTCAAAAAGCCGGAGAAAAAGTTATTGGTTGACCGAGAACTTTTCTCGCGGACATTGTATGGTCGGAGCTCGTCGATGTTATTTCTCTCGATATGACGAATGTCCCATGAACGACGATCTCCGTGGACGAACTCAATGAGTGTGTCGAGGCGAGGAAATTCCGGAAATGGATTTCTTCAGCCCCTTCTGAGCACTTGCGGTATCGGCATCGAAAGGGTTGGGAACCGCTGTTCTGCGTCCTACAAAGGCTCCTCCGGTTGAAATTCCAGGAACGACAGGGTGTGATGAGGAGATCCGCCGTCGACCTCGAACGATAGCTCGAGGACCATGTTTCTCGGAAACCCATCATGCGCAAAAATCGACCGATCGAGGCAAGCAAGTGGTCTACAATGACAGTGCCTTCCGGTAGATGCGCGGCGAAAATCAGCTCGCTTTGCGCTCGCGACTCCGCGAATGAGACCCGGAGTTGACAATTTCGTCCAACCCGTTCGATCAGTCCAGGACAAATAGCTTCCCATTGTGGAATCGAGGTCCAATGCCTGTTTTAGAAGCTAGAGGAATGGGCGTAATTCCAGTGCGGAACAAAAGTCTGACCCTCGCTTCTGAATCTATAGAGGGTCAAAGACAGCCGAAAGAGAGCGGGATGAGCGACTTCGAAAAATTTTCCAACCGGCTCGGGCTCCGAACCCTGTGCTCGCTCCGTAGACCGTGGCCCCGGAGAACCTCGTTCTCTTTGCGAGAGAACGTATCCTTACTGCGAGCGGTCCCCGTCGCTCCGACCTACAATTTTTCCCACCCCTGTCCCTTGCAGCATCGAATGCGTATCTTTCTCTCGGAACATTCTGTCGATTGAATACAGGTGGATATATCATCCTTCCTCAATCCCGCTCTTTGGCGAAAGCTCAGCACAGGCTCCCCAGGCTATACCTCGATGAAATATTCGACGCCATGGGATTCCGATCACGATTCAGCGACTTTGACCCTACAACAAGTACTGAGCGTAGACGATGACGGATGTGGCTCTCATGACGCAGCGGGAACGTCGTGACCTGTTTCCACAGTCAAGACCGGAGTGATGCATGGGAACCCAACAGTAACCGGGTCTTTGCGAGAGGCGATCCCCGGAAAACCATCACTGATCAGACCGATACCGTGCCTTTTCCTTGCCTGCAGGTACTTTAGAGACTTTCACGATGCTGCCAAATCCCCGGGCCTGGGACGAATCGAGAGCGAGACGGGCATCAATTGATCATTTCATTCCCCCGAAGCTCCGAGATATACGATGACACGCTCGGACATGCTACTGAGGACAGCCTCTCGCTTCCCTTCATCTCGCGGCCTTACTCGATTCAGCTCCGTCCGACATTAATGACTCATTAATGACGTTAATGACATCATCAATAATGAGCAATCATGAATCGAGCAGAAGCTGAAGGTCGGGCAAGATCCCGAGGCCTCGCGGGCCGCGACACGACGAAACAAGCTTCATCAGCCGAGTGCGGCGCGCCGTGTCACTTCGCTGATGTGCGACGGTTCCAATCACGAGCCTCCGGCGATATGCGGAGACGGTTTTCTGGAAAGCTTCGTCGAAGCAGAAGAACAAGGGTCGATGAGCGACTGAATCTGAGAGCGCTGACAAAATCTTGGGGTCCCAGCCATGACAGACCCCATTTTCCACAGGGCCACATCCCTTCTAGAAAGGCCCGTTGAAGGTCTACCTCCTCGAGGAAGCTCTTGCGATGCGAACCTTTCGCATTCCCTTTCCCCCGATTACGTACGGAAGGCTCGCCAGAAGCGCGCTTCGGCCTACGAGACGCCAATAATAGCTGGAATAGCACGGACCTCCATCATTATATAACACGCTCGTCGGAAGAGCAACGCCACGCTCCCTGAGGTACATTCTGTATCAAAGATCACGATGGATATCACCCAGGAATGTTCGGTCCGAATTCCCTCGTTTGCAACCAGTAGCGCTCCTGCGAAAACCCGATCGATGAATCGGAGGTGCGGAGGCACAGGTCTCTCCCCGATTCCCAGACGACCTTCGGCATGTTGGAGTCCCGACGCTCATCCGATCCGCAGAAATATGGCCTCAGGATTTGATTGCTCGTGGAAGTGGAGAAGTGAATGTTAGGTGATGGATGCGTCTGAGGATGAAGCTGGTCGCGAAGCAACGATCGAGATCTTGGATTCCAATGCGGTGAGGGTCTCGGATCCCGGGGTTTTCGCCGGATAAGTCCGCGCCGGCTCCAATACTCGCGCTGCGTGAAGCTTCTTGTGGAAACAGCGCTCAGACAGCTTTATTTCAACCCGAGTCGAAAA